TTAATCTACTGCGGAGCTATATCGCTTATCAGAATTTTCTCGGACAAAGATATATCTCGTTTCATCTTATTTCTGATAGCTGCTAATCTTCGATATATTTCAGTTAACCGTGATAAGGTTTTGTTTTTACGTAAGTTCTAATCATGTTTAAATTCAATTGTTATATTTTTCAATTTTGACACATCTGTATGAAATAAAACAGGGAGAAAAAAGCAACCCTTGATGATATCGTATCATACATATTATATTGATAATGATTAAGGACAAATCGACTAATATATATATATATATATATATAATCAATAGTGCCTACGACAAAGTTTTTGTCCTGGCATTTCCATTTGTTCAAGGACTGTAATCGGATCCATTGATTGATGACAAATCTTCGTTGTTTCGTTATCCAACGTGATAACTGTGAGTATTAACAATATTACCGTGTCGGATTGTGTCAAGATTTAACTACTAAAAGTTATGGTGATATAATATAGGTATTTCCTATATAAGTAGCTAGGTTAATTTAAAAAATGTATAGGGTGGTCCAACCAAAATAGACGATGTTAGTTTTTAGAGAATTATCTTATTAGTTTATTATATAAGAAGGATGTATGACAATTGTCATACAATTTCACACATAATTATGTGTGAAACAAAATATCGGCGATATCGGTCGCCACGGCTATGGTGCACATGTGTTCTGTGGCTATGGTGGCATGCCTGTATCCGATAGTCCATATTTTCAATGACCCCCCCGGGCCTCGGATGACGTTAGTCCGCCACTGTTTTGAAGTTAGTGTCCGACCGAAGCTTCGGCTTCGGCTTCGGCATCGGGCACCTTCGGCCAAAAAAACCATCTTCGGCGAAACCTTCGGCTTCGGCCCAAAACTAGGCCGAAGCCGAAGGTTTCGCCGAAGGTCCGAGCTACCGTCGAGATTGAATGAACTGTTTCAAAAACTGAGTGAGAGAGCGATGGACCGGTCGTGTTGGCAGAGGCCGCGGGGAGTCAGGGCGCTTGTGCACTACAATGAATTTTCAGGGCCGGTGGGCCGACTTTTTCCGGTCCCGAATGACATGAAAAACTCGGATGAGTAGCTTGTGCACATGTCCGTTTTTTCCGGATCGGAGCGGCACATTTTAGGGTAGCTATTTGTGAAGCTACACGTCACTTACAATAGGCACGTTGAGATTTTTGAAACGTTGGTAATTGCTTGCTCTATTACTGTACGTGCGAAGACGTAGAAGACAGGAAAAATATTCCTGACACAGGCTAGCATTACCTACATATGGCCTGACATATAAGGCCGGAAAAAATCGGACCGCCGGACATGAAAATTCAGTGTAGTGCACAAGCGCCTTCACTGTCAAATCTGTATTTCTAAATCAACTTCTATATGAGACAGTCAATATAACCTTCAATATTGAAGTTTTGAAATAATTTTAATATTAATTGTAGCTTGTAGACAATATTGAACAAAATGAATTACTGAGAAATTATAAACCATCGGCTTCGGCTTCGGCTTCGGCTTTTGCCGAAGGTTGTGGCGATTGCTGATTAATCGGCTTCGTCTTCGGCCAAAAATAGACCTTCGATCGGACACTAATTGTAGTGTTCAATTTCCGTCGAATCGCATTTTTTTTCTTTCGTTTGGTTTTTTACACCGCGTATTTAAATTATAGAAACGAGAATAAGAACGCGCGATGAAATATCGTAACTCGACACTACTTTTATACAGAATATGACTGTCACCTACTCTGACGTGCCGGGCTCGATTCCACGCCGACTTGTTATAGAATATGATTTTTTCTCTGACATTTTCTTCGATGTGGATGGTGATCTGAAATATCGAAAATACCTGCCTATTTTCGATATTTCAGATTACGCTACTTGGCTTTGGATCTAATGCGGTGTTTTGTAATATTTAACCTTCTTGTCAATAATAATAGGATTGATGCCTTAGGTATAAAATAAGAATATTTAGTCGGTCAGTCAGATAAAAGAAAAACTTTAGATACTTACGGATACTTGTCAACTTATAAAGAAACGGCTTCTATAATAGGCGTTACAGTTCAGTGGGGGCTCGCTATGCCACAACTATGTAGACCAGTGATTCCCTAAGTGATCCAGGTGGACCCCCAGGGGTCCACGAGGGATTCAACGGGGTCTACGTTGGCGTAAAATAAAAATGGTTCACAAGTTGTAAGTGGGGGCCACGAAAATTTATTATTAATCTAATATTAAAATTATCTGGTTTCGATAGTAAGTAACAAAAATGTTGGCTTGGCTTTACCTACATATCAATGTGCAGGTAGGCGATAATACTGTAAGAAGGTCAGCGTGTGTTACTTGTAAAAACTTGCTTTTTCAGTAATTGCAATGCATCGCCGATCGATACAGACTTGTACAGCTACGAAATACCATTGCTCTATACTTAGTAAAGAAAAATAAGTAATATGTTGTTGACATTTGACTTGTATTAAATTAAGTTTTGTTAAAATTGTCTGTATAGTAACCTACCTATGATAAAATTACAGACATAAAAGTATAGCTATTGGAGTATTATTACAGATCTTGGCAGAAAGTAAATTATTCTAGCTATACTATATTATACACTACATACGAAACATGGCTGTATCTAAGTAGAAATGTCGGCAGTATAGTATTGATTATTTGAAATTTGGTTTTCTTCCATCAAAGGCAGATAAACGATTGCCGACATGCTTTTTATGCAACAAAGTTTTGAGCAATAACTCTATGAAACCATCGAAGCTCGAAGACCATCCTGATAAAATAAGTAAAGATTTAAAATATTTTCAAACATTGAAGAAAAAATATGAAAAGAGACCCACCGTGCACAGTATGTTCGCTTCAACGTCTCAAAGTAACGATGATGGCTTGCGGGCATCTTACAATATCTCATTGCTTATTGCGAAATCTTGGAAACCGCACACCATCGGAGGACATTTATTTTACCCTCTGTTGAAGAGGTTTTACAAACTGTTCTGCACGTGACGTACTTAAAAGAATTTCTTTAAGAAACAACACTGTACAAAGACGTATTGAAAAAATGAGCTTTGATGTTGAAAGTTTCTTGTATAATTATCTACAAAAAACTCATTTTGCTATTCATCTGGACGAGTCAACTTTACTTGGTAATGAAGCATTATTATTGGCATATGTTCGATTTATTATGGACGAAGAAATCCATGAAGAGCTGCTATTCGCGAAAACTTTAGAGACGGACACTAAAGGCGAATCAATATTTAAGCTACTGGGTGATTTTTTTCAGGAAAAATCAATTCCATTTACAAACAACATTTTGGTGGCAACAGATAGAGCTCCTGCCATGGTCGGACGTTATCGTGGGTTTAAAAGAATAATACCAGGATTAACCGCAATACTAGTACACTGTGTCATCCACCGACAACACCTGGTAGCGAAAAATTTTAGTGATAGATTGCATCAATCGCTTCAACTTGTGATTAAAGCTGTTAATAAAATAAAAAGCAGTGCGTTGCATATTCGTTTATTTGCCTAATTGTGCAACGAAAATGATGAAGACTTCCGACGGTTGCTTTTACACACTGAAGTACGCTGGTTATCGAAAGGTGCGTGTTTAACAAGGTTTTACTTACTTTTTGAATCAGTTTTAGAGTTTCTGGAAAGTAAAGATCCAGATTTAAAAGAAAACTAATGTATTTGTTATAATTATTTATAAATGATAACTTAAGTTACTTTATTTAATAATCTCAAATAACATTCATAATTACATTTCATTTTGTTGTTTAAAATACTAATAAAAATTGAAAATAAATAAAAGAAAATTCGTTATAATTATAGGCTATATAAATGTATGCCAGAAATATCTAGAATTGATGTATAATTGTTTGTTTAGTTAAGTATTCTATTTTAAAAATCTTTATTAGTTTATAAATTCATCCATTTTATTATCATTTATCACATTAAAATTCATTTATCCTATAATAGCATTTTTTTTATTAAAATGGTTTTTAATTGTTTTAAAATTTGTTTATCATTTATTTAATTAAAGGGGACTTGATTGCTAGACGTTGGCAGAATTTATTTGTTTTTGTGACGTGTTGGGAATTTGGTTAGGGCGTCGATTCTTTTCTTATAGTAATCTGGGTGTTGACGAACAAACTTAACATATCTTGATTATATAAATGGTCGGCAAAGTGAGAATTTCATGCTTTATAAAGAAGTGCTTACTTCCATCTGTATTTTTAATATTTACAAGGATTCTTATGAGTTTCTTTCATCATAATTTCAACATTCAGTCCTCGTCCCTATTGCCATTAACTTGTTTGAGATTGAATAATAATTTTAATACAACAACAAAATAACAATTTTAAATTTAATTAATTTTCAACTGTAGGAAATTACACTAACAATGAATCAATATTATTTATTGAAACGTCAGTAATTGATAATTGTAATTTATTAGCTCGGTGGCGTAGTGGATAAGCGCCGCGGCCCGCGATCGTAGTCGTTAAGCAACTTTCGCAACGGTCGGTCACGGGATGGGTGACCAAAAAATTATTATCTCGAGCTACTCCGTGCTTCGGAAGGTACGTTAAGCCGTTGGTCCCGGCTGCATTTGCAGTCGTCAATACCCTCCAATCCGCATTGGGCCAGCGTGGAGGGTCATGGCCTCCTTAACCATTCATAAGGAAGGCCTGAGCCCCTGCAATGGGGACGTAAAAGGGCTGGTGATGGTTAAACATGGTTACTATATACAATGAATTAATTTTCTTTATACATCAGTTATCCACTATATAGACGGGCGTTCTTAAATTGACAACTTACACATTAGGTGTATCATTTGTTGATTCATATAATATATCGACTGCAGAATCAGAATTATTCGAAATATTTAAATACATATAAGTTTTATTATTGTTTTGTTTTTCATTTTTGTTCTAGACTATATATCAGGAAAAAAGATTTCGGCGCAATTGAAATGGGAAAGTTATAGTTAAATATTTTATTATATAGAAAGACTATGAATAAAATGGTAATCAAATGTTTATTGCCACTTAGGAAATTATAAATATCCATTATAATCCCCAATTGAGGCTTAGTCTTGGAGTATGAAATACGGCAGTGTGTCGAGCGGTGCTGGGTAGTCGGTCAACCATATCGGGCCTTGGATATCTTCTCCAGTGTTGCCATCCTGCCAGTTGCCCTTAGGTAGGTATACGTTACGGGACACAGCCCCCTCTTCCATCACTGGAGCGGCCAAAATCCTCTCACCGAGAAGGAATTCTAGAAGCAAAAATGGTGTTAGTATGTTAACAATTTGAAAATTAAATGTAACGCCAGAAGGAGTAGGCGTTAATGGTGATGTTCCCCTCGTTGCTGAGCAGATCATTTCTTTATGTAAATTAATGATATCTGTGGTATAACGAAAACTATAGTTACATTAGGTAGCTATAACTCTTCGCGCATCTCTAGTCCCTAGTCGGGGGCAGCTGGCTGGTTTAGGCACTAGCCGGTATTGCACGTCTCCGCCCTGTCTGGGGGGGTACGTCTCGAGTGTCTCTGAGATGTGCCGCCCAACCCGCGAGGGACCTGCCCTTTCCAGGGCGGGCCGAAATGGGGGCGAACTGCGCGGTGTATGGCCTCCGGGCCGATCCCGTGCATCGCCTTCCATGCGAGGGACATCGCTGAGTTTTAGTGGGTATACCCCTGCTATTTGACTAGCCCCATTCTGGGGTGGGTCCGCAGGGGGGAGCCCCACATAACCCGTGGAGCCTGCGCTGGGTGAAGCGGGTATACAGTAATGCATTTCTCAGCGTCAAAAAAAAAAAAAAAAGGTAGCTATAACTCTCGTGTTCTGACCTTATAACTATTCAATATCATTGATATCATGTTTAATATCGTTCAATTTTTATGAGAGTGGGAACTTGACAAGAATTTTGTTTTTCCAGGTGCTTTAATAAAATACACATTGCTACTAAATGACTTAAGTATATCAGATATATGCGTGTATCGCATATTTGAAGCATGAAATGATTGTATGTGTACCATCCCAGACGGCGAGCGCGTCTTCGTCGGTGGGATCGAGCCACCAAATGGGTGGGTTGACGGGCGTGCCTTGTTCGATGGATGCCACCATCGCTGTCACTATCTCATCTGCATAGTCCGCATGTAGTTGCGTGTATTTCCTACTAATCTCTACAGCCTGTAAAAAGTAAGAATGGGTTTATTTAGAGCACGGGATCAGACTTATTTCATTTACTGCCCACTTGTGGAATAATTATTTTTTGCGTCCCCATTTTGTCACCTACTTAAAACCAATATAGTTTCAAATTAAATTAATTACTGTGGCCTATATTAGCGGAGATTAAACATTCATTCTAAACGAGATTTTCTTCTATAACCAGCAAAAGCCAACTTGAGACCTGAACGCAATAGGTAGCACTCAAGTCTCTTATTAACCCTTCCTAAGCCTCTACACAACGCCCCCATTTATTTTTCTGGCTTTCGTACTGCCCCTATTTAGGCCTGCAGCGCCCACAAGGGGGCGTTATCGCCCACTTTGGGAAAGGATAAGTTAGACCATCAAATGCAGAATAATAAATTATCAGTTTATGTCTGAAAGTATCAGTATTCGCTCGCATTCATTAAGTGCGAAAAGGTTCCATTTTATTGTTTACTGTTGCAGTTCAGATGTTTCTATGCCTGCTTGTTTTTTACCCGACTGCGCGGCGCAAGGGAGGGTAATGTGTTTATCAGTCTAACGGTCAGTTGCACAAACGTCTATTAAGGTTTAATGACGTCTTTAAACTCTAATGAATGTCAAATTTGTATGGGTAATGTCACTTTAAACTAATAAAAATTTTAATAGACGTTTGTGCAACTGGCTATATGTATGTATGTTTGTTTCTATGTGGCGTTCTAGAGATCAAATGCGTAGGCCGATTTTGTTGATTCTTATGACAATCGATTCGTCTTAATCTTGCGAGTGTCACTAAAGACATGATAGTAATTAAAATTCATCACACTTACAACTAGACGCCATATTATAAAAATGAAAAAAAAACTATGAATTATGTCAAGTGGGGTGTCGTTGAATAGGTATTTTAAAATCATCTTTCGGTTCCTTTTATAATTTTTCATTTTACAATAGTTTAGGATATATAACGGTTTAAAGTTGTTTAACAAACGATATTATCTCCCTCAATGAAATAACTTGATTGCGAAATTTACCATCTTATAACGAAGTCAACGAATCGTAACTAAAAAGTATAAAATAAAAATAAATAATTTAAAGAAAAACAAAAAACCCGACTGCGTACAAAAGATTTAAAAAAAAATAAATGAACAAATTCCCTTGGGAAGATTTGATTGGTAAAATTTGAATGGGACCCGACTGTGAGTCGTTCTGTTCTGTATTACTTAACAGAATTCTAAACTACTGGGCTTGTTTCTTTCTTTTTAGTTTTTATTTAAGTTAATTTGTTCACTTAATTATTTAAATTCGTTTGTACGCATTCGGGTATTTTGTTTTTCTTTTTTATTAACATTATTTAGTAATATGTCCAGAATGATTTTTAAAGTATTTTCATTTCCACGCTTTCATGATTCTCTCAAATGTTTTCTTGACAAGATTCATATTAAAGCTTTTCAAATGCAAACACGTATTATTTGGAAAGATCACAACGTTACAAAACGTCGGCAGTTGTTTCAACAAAAAAACTTGCAGTACCAAATGATGAACAAATGAAGTAACATCCATCACATTTAAGTTAAGTGGAATTACCTCCTCGTCATGGTCCCAAGGTACAAAAGAGTATTGCAGTGTAGGCATGAACACATTGGCTTGAAGCCACCTCACGAACAACTCTTTGCTGGGTTTTGCGTTATACCCGTTGCCGCCGATCATATCCGGCAGCACCAGCGTGTAGCCGTTTAAGTTCATGGCCAGTAGCGTGGTGACCAGGGTAGCTAGGCCGTTGTCAAAGTCCCATAAAGTGTCTTTGTCAACCATACGGATGAATACTGGCAGGTCTTGGGTACTGTAAGATGAGAACATCAGAATATTATAAATATTAATCTACTTATTACTGATTAATTTCGCTCTGGTTTTTCTTTATTCCAACTAACAAAACTATAATTGCCATCCATGCCAGGTGTTGCCATCTCTTAGAATCCCGGGTTAGATTCCCGTTGTGGATATTATGGTATCTTAGTTGTCTCAGATACTTCATAACACGGGGGCTTTAGCTACTCATCTTGCAATCTGAGCAATGTATGTGATGTTTGTTAAATATTTATTTATTATTTAATGTAAATAAATAACTTACACAAAAAAGAATTATAAACAACGCGTCTTACCGCATTCCAGATCTTACTTCGATCATGGGACCAAAGTTAGCTACTGTCCTGACGTAAGCTTCAACAATGTTTCCAGGGTGAAGATCGATGGGACCATTCTGTACTGGAATCTGCGAAAAGTGAATCGAGAATATAATTATAGCTAATTAAATGTTTGCCAAGTGCTCGAGTCGTTTATTGAAATGGAGAGGTTTTAAATGCATTCGAAGGCAAATATCATTTCATCTTTTATCCGTATTTAGGTATGATTGTATGTATTTGATTTCATTCGGGCGTAAGGATGCAATCAATTTGATTCGTAAGTATTTTCATAATTTATACCTGAGGTGACCAGCTTGATTCTCCAGCGTCGAACTTGACGCTGTCAATGTCATACGTTTGGATAAGTTCAGTCACTCTAGAGCTGAACCAGTCACCAGCTGCACTGTTGGTGAAGTCAATGTAGGCGGGTACTGAGCCGTTGTTGTTCCACCACGATGTATCTGGACTGCCTTCTTCGTTCAGAACCAGGTATCTAAAGAAAATAGTGTTTGTGTGCCTTTCAATGCCATTCTGTATAAATTAAGCTAAATCAGTAATGTTTCTTTTTCTGGTTTGGTGTTTATTCATTTGTCTAAAAATCAAGAAAACGAAGCCGGCTTGGCGCCAGTCAGACTTCATCATCCTCAGCCCTTTATTTTCGTCCCCACTGCAGGGGCTCAGGCCTTCCTTATGGATGGTTAAGGAGCACGGGCCATGACCCTCCACGCTGGCCCAATGCGGATTGGCGGGTATTAACGACTACAAATGCAGCCGGGACCAACGGCTTAACGTAACCTTCCGAAGCACGGAGTAGCTCGAGATAACAATTTTTTGGTCACCCATCCGACCGATGACCGACCCTTGCGAAAGTTGCTTAACGCCACTGAGCTACTAGTCAGACTTACCCGTTGTCCAATGCAAAGGAATACCATGGCTCGCAATCTTTATTAATGAAAGGATGCACCCAAATTGATACCCTAAATCCTAAACCTTTGATGTCTTGGATCAGTTTTTTGAAATCTGGCAATTTGTTCTCATTCACTGTCAAAGAACCGTAGCAAATCTCCCAGAGATCGTCGATTTCGAATTGGGCGTTCGGGAAACCACTTTCTTTTATTTCATTAGCAAACTCCCAGAGGCTATCTTGGTCGATTTCACGGGAATATCTCGCCCACGTTGACCAGACGGGATATTGAATCATCCTATAGTCTGGTAGGCCTGTTGGTCTGCCCAAAAACGTATCAACGGCATGTTGATGTGCTATTTTGGCATTCTCGAAAAACCAGATGTCATATTTGAGCACGTTATTTGCGCGCCTGGTGGAATAAGGTGCTGTTACTTCTGCAATGAAGCATATGTGGTCGTCGAGTACATTGTGGTAGTCAACAAAGAGAGGTACATCAGGCTGAACGTGAAAGTAGTAGCCGGCGGAATTCAGCCAGTATCTTTCGGATACAGCGGCGTTGTCATCCTCCTTAGAGATGATAGAGTATTTTTCGAGCTTGCCGTTTTGGATTGGCCAGTATTGTTGCTTTTGCTCTGGTCCTGCATACCACTGCTTACCTCCTGTAGATTAAATCGATTAATGAAAATTTCAATACTCATGTCAGGGTATTAACAGTTAGCACTATTTATACATACGGAAACCAAAGCAATCTTCAAAGATCTTGTCTGTGGGTCCTTCCCAACGTATAGAAACTCTCCACCCATCATTGGATGCATCGTAATCCACGTCCATGTCAAAGGTGACGTCCGGGTCATTGGCGGCACTTTTGCGGCCAATGTTACCCAACACCATGGTCCCTTTATCAGCTAAAAATAAAATTGGATCCTCTATTAAATAATGTTTACTTAAGTTTTTCAATTAGTTTATATACATAGGTATAGTATTTCTATACTTACAAGTAACAACAACAAGGTCCAGCCCGCCATCACCATTGTCTTCCACATAAAAGTCCCGCGTTGTAGGAGTCTTCGGGACGGCGCAGAGCGCCACGGCTACACCTATGACAAATTGTATTGAGTTGACGAAGAAGAGAATTATTTAATACACTTCATTGAACAGTGCATACTGTCTATGCGACGTCGTCTCAAAGATGTAACGCTACCTGTAAACTGTCGTATTTTTTAATAAATAATGATAGTCTATTATATATCTGTGGCGACTGATACATAGCGACATCTAATTCATCGCACTAACATCGCCACAACAATCGATAGCGAGAAGGCTAGCATTGTCACAGCCATCGATAGCAAGACGAACTGCAATAAGTTTCAACAGCAAGTAACGAGATGGCGCTGTACCAATACAAGCAGCATAAATTAATAACTACAAGACATTTAGTAGAAGAAAGAAACCTACATCGCACAGAATAAGTTTCATTACCAATTAACATAAATAGAACGTCCAACCTACATCGGTTGGACCGCGGTCCCCGGGCTAATAACACCTAGCTCGGAGGGAGACAATTATCCTTTAGTCTCCCTGGCCAGTTGTCTCCATCACCACAGCAGGGACCACACATTGCAACCATTACGGTTCCTAAAGTGGTGACCCCAGCAGAACATCAGCAACCTTCAGCATCAGCAACCTTCGGCATCACAACGCAGCCATCACTCTTCATCAACAGCCTCTCACCCTTCATCATCAGCCTCTCATCCCTCACCAGCACAGCCACTTCAGCAGCAAGCCAGCCAACACCAAGGTCCATCACAGCAGCATCGACGACGCTTCCTGGATACTTGGTACCACACGACGGCATCACTCCGACCTGGTCCACGCAGCCCACGACTGGACCTCAGTTCACACACAACTCACCGGCGTGGCAGCCCTGCACACCAGCAGCTTCGGGCCCGACGTCACAACCATGGCACTTGCAAGCTCTGAAGCACTGACTGCATACCACCTACTATCAACATGGATCGACCTTCGGTCTAGGGGGAAAGTACTGTGGCGACTGATACATAGCGACATCTAATTCATCGCACTAACATCGCCACAACAATCGATAGCGAGAAGGCTAGCATTGTCACAGCCATCGATAGCAAGACGAACTGCAATAAGTTTCAACAGCAAGTAACGAGATGGCGCTGTACCAATACAAGCAGCATAAATTAATAACTACAAGACATTTAGTAGAAGAAAGAAACCTACATCGCACAGAATAAGTTTCATTACCAATTAACATAAATAGAACGTCCAACCTACATCGGTTGGACCGCGGTCCCCGAGCTAACAACACCTAGCTCGGAGGGAGACAATTATCCTTTAGTCTCCCTGGCCAGTTGTCTCCATCACCACAATAGGGAGCCAACCTTCAACCATACGGTTCCTAAATATCCTACATAGAAGAAGTCTTTGGGTCTACATGGTCGTGGGCTTAGGTCAATCGTTACTTGTGTTTTCAGTTGTGTGGTTGTTCCACAGCTTAACCAGACGCAATATTTCTAATATCATGGGTCATATTATCATTTCATTATTAAGGTCACGATAGTTTTGATGTTACGTTCTAAGTATTTGATTGGGCTGAAGCCCGCGTGCTTCAAGAGCAAAGTTAGTTTGGAAAATGTGTACGCCTTAATAATTAATGAACACTTTTACATAGGCGGACTCAATGCCTTGGGCATTTTCTTCCATCAACCTTTTTTATTGATTATAAGTAACACAACAAACGTTAGGGAAATAAAAAAATTACAGTATTAAATATTATAATATCTTACTCATTTTATTATTTGGTTGGTTATAATTTTCTTAGATTACTTAACTACTGTTTATGACTAAACGCTTTATTGAAAACCTAAAATTCTCGAAAAGGCCTTGCAAACTGTATCCTGCCCACATAAAACGTACATAAGTTATTATTATTAATCATGATATCTATGTAAGATTTTAGTATAATCGCACCGCACGTTAGCGAAATGGGACGACTGTATGATTGACGAATAAGTACAATACTTATTATAAGGTCGGTGCATATCTGATGGGCGATGTTTCGAATATCGCGGATTTTCAGAAATGACAAATAAGTACATATATGATATGACATTAGACCTTGCAAACCCGATGTTCAGTTGCGTACTGCATACTCGTGATACGATCGAGTGATGCGCTTAAGGGATTCTCCGTCAGATTTTCACCGACCCTAAATGTATTTTTTCTATAAGACAACTTGGCGTGCTTGTAATGAACTGCACTGACTTGATTAGATTCGAACTAGACACTTCCTGTTCGATTTTATTCTAAGAACTTTTTATGCAACTGTTATTCTATCAGATACCTTACTTTTTCAACAGTCATTTGTCATACATAATAGTGATAAGCGGTCCACGTACCTGCTAACAGGAACAGCACCTTCATGTCGTTGTCGTCAACCAGGTTCACTGCGCGAGCGCACAGATCGCATACCTATTTATCTCGATGGAATATCGACATGTATCTTGACCGAATTTCCAGATAAAATAGATAAGTTGCTGAACAAATCCCTCACTATATCTTTTACTATTATACTATTAACTTAGTTTGTAGTTTATTTGGATTTGGTTGCGGATTTTTGGCAAAGTTATGCCGTATATATTTTTATGAAAAATACAAAAAATCCATCATTCCCGGATATCACAAGGGGGACTCGAAAGAAAAAGGGACTCGAACCTACGAACTTTTCACAATTCGGGCGACTGCTCTTACCACTGAGCTACCCCATCCCATTTCGGGGAGTCACTTTTATGGATGATGCAACTCATAAAAGTAATACTACCCGCTATATAAACCATCGCAGAGCGCGGTCCGCTCTCCCGTTCAAACCTTCCGCCGACCTGGCCCTCCTCCTGCAGGCCCAGCAGGCAGATCCCGCTCCTGTCCCCTCCGACCTTTCAGGTCAACCTTCGTCTCCGTCCACTCTGACCGCTACCCTCTCAGGGTAACGGCCACATAATTTTTAAAGAGCATCACCTAGCACCCTTCTGGTGGTAAGTGATAGCTCCCCACCCCGCACTCCATATTAATATTTATTTGCGAAAATATGGTTACAAGGTAGTTTTACAATTTTAGACCAGCATATTTTATCGTGAGGACGATGTGCAAATATTAACATACCCCGAACCTTCAGGTCAACCCCCTATCCGATCTGGCTTGTTGTTCCCCTTCAGGGAGTTGGCTGTATTTTCAATCCGATGAGCCGAGCCCTTCAGGGTTAACGGCTAACATCTTGATGTCATGTGACGTCTGCGTGGGGGGGGGCGGTGGCTCCGGTCGAAGGTGTGTTTCCCCTTTCAAGGCATGCGACCAACTGTCCAAGGAAGTGTTTAGTCTGACATAACCTCACAGCCGGCTGAGTGGTATTCAATGAAGGATTCACCGCGTCCTTTCCCGTTGGGAAGGTGGTTCCGAACCCCTAAGGTTAAGAGCGGAAAAAAGCTCTCATTCTTCGTGGGTTCATCGTGGTGTCTTTAGGTAACCGTCTAACTCTGACTGTTGTATTATAGACGTGTTCCTTACTTCCTTAAGCAATCGAGAGTCTCACAAAATATTTTCATAAATTACATTCATTATTAATATTTTGACTTCATCATTAATCATATAGTTATATCCGTCCGCGATAATGTTAGCATGAATTTTGGAATTATTTCCTTATGTACCGAATAATAATTTGGACGATAAAAAGGATCCTCTGTCGATTAAAAAAAAACTTCAAATTTAGAAGCATCTTTCATGAAGTTCTTTTCTCGAGGGAATAAGCGTACACCTTGACAAACATACAGACTTTCATATTTGCCGTTAATATAAATTTGAGGACGATTGTTGACGATTTCAAGGTACAAAAAGTAACCGCGTGGGAGGCAGTCATTTGTCGGCTAAAAGATAAAATGTGTACCTAGCAGTTATATCTATAAGTATTTTGTTTAGATTTATGTAAGCCAGCGTTGGTAAGAGATAAGTAAATGTTACATAAACATCAGACTATGTCACATACAAATTGCTCAGTTATGTTATTCTGTAATAAAATCAGTCTTCGTTCTCCACGTGACGTCGAATACAGCGCTGTCATAGCGTAGAGGTTCAATAAAATAAACCTTTATTACCTAACGCAGTAGGTTTTATTTCAATGAATCTATTATTGCAGAATATTGCTGCTGATCTCTAACTAGAGCTTTTGTTTTATTATTAATATCTGAAAAAATAAGATATCCACGCAGACACGTGACCATATAGAAAAGTTAAGGAGTCAGTTAAAAGTCGTTTATCTTGTCTTGTAAATAATAAAATAAAGCAACAAAACATCGCTTTATAATTGAATATTTGGATAGACATCCACTAAATCAAATTAATTCATTGCCTACATTTTTTTAAATGAAACATATTTTCGTATTTTTGGATTTAAAGATTTGATTGCTTTTTCCATCGAATTGGTTCCGAAATCACTGGTCCGTTTTAAAAATTCTGTCACCCACGGGAAGCTACCTCATACTCGGGCGTCATAGGCTATAATTTACGCGGCTAGTTATCAGCTAGTTTATTATATAAATTCGGCTGTCCCTGTTCAAAACCTAGTAACTGTTTTGGACTAAATTTTACAGGAGAGCAAAAAATCTCTTTTTAGGGTAGCTCTTTTAAACTATTTACCACCTGTTGAGAATTTATTATTTAAGTTTAAAAGAGCTACCCTAAAAAGAGTTTTATTTGTCTAAGTCTCATTCTACAAATTTTATGAGCTAAAATAGTTTTAACAATAAAACGTCCAAGTAAAAATTTACTTCCAAAACCATTTCAAACCTAGTAAGTTCTCTTACTAGTTTTTGATCTGATTTAACATATTAACTAAAAATCAGCTTATCCAGATCAAAAGCTAGTATGAGCTCTGATGTAACTTTCGGTTGATTTGTCAACTAAAAGTAATAAATAAAATATAAGCACAAACAGGCTATATATATATCAATATCAAAAAAAGACAAATCCTTTGGGTCATCTAAAAAGCATTGAGTGTATCTACAATATTGCTGGCGTCTCGTCCAGCAATCACTTCGTGCCACTATATATACTTATATTAGGTCCTTACATATGAAATTGGCGTTTTGTCGTACTGGCCATTTTAATCACTAATTTCTCCTCCTTGGTTGGGATTTCCAAATTCAAATTTATACAGCCATTTACACATGTATTTGTGTTTCTACAGGCGACATTCATTTGTTTGTCCTATTTACGTCACCCAGTATAAAAAATCGAAAACTTGAAATATCGTGTTATTTACGAGCACGAGTTCCACCGTGGTACCAGTGCTGTGGAAACGGCTCGAAGGGTTAATGATGTGTACGGCGGTTGTGACGCAAAAGAAAACACAGTGCGTTTTTGGTTCCAACGTTTTCGTTCTAGAAATTTCGACCTGCAGAACAAGCTTCGTGGACGGCTGGAGACCCAAGTTAATAATGAAGAATTGAAGGCTATTGTGGAAACGGATCCATCGAAAACAACGTCCGAGTTAGCTGCAGGCACAAAAATGAAGGGTTTTTAAATCGAATCATTACCTGTGATGAAAAGTGAATTCTCTACGATAATCGGAAGCGCTCATCGCAATGGTTGGACTCTGGCATGCCAGCCAAATCCTGCCCCAAGTGAAAATTGACCCCAAAAAAGTTACTTGTAAGCGTTTGGTGGACTAATGCCGCTGTCGTTCATTACAGTTTTCTCAAATCTGGCCAGACGATTACGGCAGACGTCTATTGTCAGCAATTGGAAACCATGCTGGAAAAACTAGCTGTTAAATAACCGAGGCTGGTCAATTGCTCTACACCACTGCTACTTCACGACAACGGTGGATCACACACTGCACCACAGACGGCTACCAAATTAGAAGAGCTTCAATTGGAATGTCTAAGACATCCACCGTACTCCCCGGACCTTGCTCCAACAGAGTACGATTTTTTTATTTTCGAAATTTGGATCTTTCAAGGGAAATTCTTGCAAGGGAAAAATTTCAACTCCGATGGGCAGTGCAAATCACCTTCAAAGATTTTATTGATTCCCGTCCGTATGGTTTTTTTAGTAAGGGGATCAATGAACTACCTATGAGATGGCAAAAGTGCATAGATAACAATGGTTTATACTTTGATTAAATAAATATATTATATTTAAAAAAAAAACGACTTTTTGTTGTTCCCATACCAAACACCAATTTCATATGTATGGATATGGACCTAATATATTTTAATGGGGGCAAAACTAAGGTTAAAAGTTATTAAACGGCGATATGTAATTTCATCTACGAGGACTCTTCGACACTGACTGAGCTTTCGACTACCGACTATAAGTTGTGAATATCAACTCATAATATTAATTAAGAGATTGCTCATAATAACTCGGTTCTATATTTTTCTATGTGTAATTTATTCTCTATGTGTAATATGCATATTTGTCCTGTTTTATTCAATAAATAAAATAAATTTAATTCTTCTTTAGAATGAATTTTTAATTGCCGCTAATATAGCTCCCAATAATTAATGTAATTTGAAGTTATAGTGGTTTTAAGTTAAATACTCAAAGTGGGCATAAGTTAGACGGACACAAGTTTGGGAACCTCTGATCTAGTCTATCGTTCCATTGCTAACTTAAATTTTTCATGATGTTCTTTTTGTTTAGTCGAAATATCTTCTGACACTTCAGTACCTTTATTTCAGTACCTAGTATGTGCTAACACATACTCGAGTTTTGAAATAGTTAAAGATACATACTAGGTTTTAAAATGGTTCAAACTTAACTTTTCATAAATTTTGAAGCGGTTACTAGGATATAGGGCATTTTGGCATCTTGTGGGGACTTATTGAAAACCACTTTTAACAAAAAAAAACAAATTCTACTTTTTGTAGACTTACTAGGTTTTGAAATGGGACAGCCGTAATGTGACAATTTGGAATAAATAAAAAATACTTTTTCACTCTCTATACTGCAAAGAACTATAGAGAAGATTAAAGTTCGAGCGCATTTCTCTATCAAAGAAAGTTTCAGACTCATACCATATGCATACAGGCTCGTCTTAAGCACAACAGCCCGCGTGCAAGTAGTGCTCTGGCGTACCCCAGCCCACTTTTTACACATATTTATATTAGAAACATCATCGGAGCGGCGCCCTCCAACGCGCGGCGCCCGTGTGCATTGCATACCCTGCACTATAGGTTAAGCTGCCCCTGCATGCATACCATACTGCGTGTGTTACGATCAGCAGTTATACATGTTGAGCTACCTTCACAAGTATTCTGAGTTCTCTGCGAGCGCAAGATATTTGTTACCCTGACAGTGAATGCTTCAGATTTAACTTGATAGTGCATGAGCGTCGCGATGGGCAGTTAAATGCGCTACGTAACTTTCAGATGATTCTATAACACAAAAAAGACTATATTTAGTTTTAACCCTGTCAAACGGCTTTTAGTTACTTTACACTTTTTATATTAATTATGTATAACAAACATTTCGCATATGATTGTATTAATATAACTTATTCCGCATTCCGCATTATTACTAGGA